CCATATTAAATCATTGTATGAGACTAAAATGTTATGGATAATGCCTTAAAAACTTTTTTATGCAAGACTTTTTTCCCGTTGTGGCAAAAGTGTATAAGGAGATTGAGACCACCCAAACCCACCTCTCCTTCACCTGACTGCAGCTTTGGCCTGAGACTTGGGCTGCCTGGGGGAACATGAGATGCTGCATTCCAGAAGCTGGTGGCGGATGCCATGAGTGGAATACCCTGGGATGATACCCATGTTTGAGAAATGTTTGCCCACAGTCCCTTGCTGTTTTATGTACCCCAGTTAAATCATCCAACTTATATCACTCTTTGTCCCTGCCCCAGAATTATGTCATCCCTGTTGTCCACAGTGTATGAGGGTCTGGTGCGCAGACCAATCCAACCCATCCCTTTCCGGGGAGACAAAGCTCTTGGGAATGTGGCGGTTTCAGCAGCTTCTGCTGCACCACTGCACTCAGATATGGTAAAGGTGATGCTATTGTTCAATTATCTCTGGTCTAGGGACAAGGAAACAAGACTAAGGCAGGACAATGTACCCACAAGAAAGCCAGACCCTGCAGCTGTCCTGAAAATCACCTTGGGCCAGGCTGGAGCTGGGGGAGGCCATTGCCCACAGGCTCATCTGCTGAGGCCACATTTGCACACACTCCCCCACAGCCACGAGGGGAGGTGGAGAGTTCTGGGGCTGCGACAAAATCTCTGGTCACAGCCTTCAGTGAACACCCATCCTCCCTCACACAAACTGGCTGTCAAAAGCCCACCCTGGGAAGGCCACATCCATGGGACATTCCTGTGAGGGGCAGCTGAGGAGGTGCCACAATCCTTCAAAGCCCCCCAAAGCTCTCCCCAGACTCACTGCTGAGGCCTTGCAGCAGAGCACTGCTCGTGATGCAAAGGGCTGCAACAGATCCAGAGCCTGCTGCAAGGGACTGGGTCAAACTTCCCCTGCCAGGGGAGGTACCTGGGCCGCCTTCCCACCTGGCCCAAGTGTGTATCAACCCACTGAGCTCCATGTGTGCGGGGAGCCCTCAGCACCAAGATCTGACAGAGAGCATCCAAGGGATGCCATTGGCAACCACGGAGGGGTGAGGTTTTCTACTTAATCTGTCTCTGTCACTCTTTCTCTGTCCCCATCCCCTCTTTTCTACTTTTTTCTCTTTGTCTCTCTCTCTCTCTCTCATTTCTTATTAAATAAAAACCATACTACTGACTTTGACATATGGTCTCGTTTGTACCCTAATTCGGGCAGAGGCATTTCTGATCTTTTTAATAACTGGATCACAACAAGGGGCTAGAAGCCCACCATTCTGGGGGCTGCTCCACGCCACTTCCAGTGGGTTTGGCTGCTGAAGGGTTGCCGGGCGTGGCCCTTTGTGACACAGGCGCGTTGTGTCAGGGCCCTGGGTGATGCGGGCCATTGTGATGCCCAGGGCCCCCTGTGACATGGCAGAGCCACGCCCTGCAGGGGGTATATAAAGGGGCACGGGGCCCTGCGCTGCCCTGTCCCAGGAGAGCCACTCGCTCAGGAGGAAGCAGCTCCCAGGATCCCGCTCTGCGACCCAGGAGGTCAGACGCGAAGGAGGACAAGGTGAAGCCCCACTCCCAGGCACCCAGCCCCTTGCCCGGCTGGCTGCAAGAGCAGGCCCTCAGCGGGCAGTGGCTGGCGACAGGCGGTGGCTCAGGCCTGCCCCAGTCAGACACTGAGGAGGAGGGAGCTTCATCCCAACATGGAGAAAGACTGGGATTCTGACATGGATCAAGAGGTTTCCCAGTGGGGAGATGTGGCAGGAGAGGCAGCCCGTGAGCTGCTCAGTGCCTCTCCTGCCCCGGGGAGCCCCACAGAGGATGAGCCGGCAGCTCTTGCTGCTGCTGCTCTGGCTGGAGCTGCTGAGGAGGTGGAGTCGTCCCTGGAGCCTCTGGCTCCCAAGGTGGAAAAGGCACCAGGTTCTCGTGCCTGCAGTGACAAGGGGCCATCAGCAGGGACACAGAGCCCAGTCCCTGCCCCACGCAGTCCCCCAGGCTGCAGCCAGGCTCTGCTGGACGTAGCGAGGTACATCAGCTCTGAGGTGGTGTTCAGGGCTTGGCTTGAGGTCCAGGCATCTGGCCAGCAGCCAGAGGAGCCAGAGGGGGACCTGGAGCTCTCCCATTGGGATGAATGCATTGAGGAAGAGCTGTCCCATGGGGATGCTGGGAGCTACCAGGAAGTTTCGGACTGGGAAGAACACGGTGAGCGCGAGCTGCCCCATGGAGATGTTGGCAGCTCCCAGGAACTGTCAGATTGGAAAGAGTCCATTGGCCGTGAGCTTTGTCAGAAGGAAGACTCTGCTGGCCAGGAGGTGTCCAGAGAGAATGAGAAGAGACCCTCCATGCAGTCCAGCTGGGGCAGTGACAGTGACCAAGGCCTTGCGCTGGACAGCTGGGAACAGAGCATTGGGGCCAAGCCCTTGCTGCAAGAGGACGACAAGTGGGACGAGATCAGTGTCATCGAGCTCTGTGAAGACATGGACAGAGAGCAAAGACTGGCAGATTTGGCCAGAAGCGGCTTCTTCGTGCCTGCCCCTCGCGAGGCTTGGGTTGAGCACGGGACATCTGAGCCGTGCCTCCTAGGGCCGCTCTGTGCCTTGCCTCCCCATGCAAAAGCCCCGGCTCCCAGAGGACACAGGGCCTCTCCTGCCTTCCAGGAGCAGGTGCCAGAGGCCGGCACACGGAGCCTGCTGTCGGTCCTGCGCAGCCGCCCCAGCCCCTCAGGTGCCCAGCCGGGAGCCCAGGCCCTCAGCCAGCAGCGGCACCCCCACAAGAAACGTCCCTCCCACCTCAGGCGGGCGCTGCGGGCGCTGCGCAGCCTGTTCCGCTGGCCCTGCCTGGCGCCACAGCCCGAGGATTAGGGCCCGCTGCCGGCGCCAGCCCAGGCCCCGCAGATGGCGCCTGGCCCGCAGCCTGCCCCGTGTCCTGAGGGAGCCACACGGGCTGCCTTTGCCTGGACGTGGCCCTGCAGCCTCAGCGGTGCCCAGCTGCTTTGGAGCATCCCAAGTGGGTCTCTCCAAGAACAAAGATTACCCATGTGGCAACAGATCCAGAGTCTGCTGCAAGAAACTGTGTGACTCTTGCCCCGCCAGGGGAGGTACTTGGACCTTCCCACCTGGCCCAAGTGTGTATAAACCCACTGAACTCCGTATGTGCAGAGAACCCTCAGCACCAAGAAGATCTGGTGGAGTGCATCCAAGGGATGCCATTGGCATCCATGAACGGGTGAAGTTTGTCTTCTTAATGTATCTCTATGACGCTCTCTCCCCTGCAACCACCTCTGTCTCTCAACTCTCATTTTCTGTTACATAAATTCTTTGCTATTAACTCAGTGTATGGTCTCATTTGTGCCTTAATTCAGGCAAAGGCATCACTCTAACAATTTTAATGGCCAGATCATAACTATGACCTTTGTCTGGAGTGTGGAAGTGTTTTCTTCTACCCTCTAAGGCATTTGCTCAGTTATTTGTGAGTTATACCCTCCCAAGAGTGCTCAGCATGGTACTGGTATTCAGTTATTAATGAAAGGCTCCACAAGCTTTCTGCTCCAATAGTACTAATCACTTCTGCCATTCCACTTTCAACGTTTTTATTAACAAAGGCTGGGCTGACATTACAATTCAGCAGAACAGGAGGTCAGTAGATCAAAGTAGATCAAAGCAGATGGTGCTGAGCATGCTTCCATTGCCAACCCTGCTTTGAAAATTTCAGAATTAGACTTTAGACTATGTGTGTTCTGAACCAAGCATCTCAAGCACACAGTTCACAACTGTCCAAAGGAGCAGTCAGTTTAGACCATCACAGTTCCACTAAGGAAGGACAGTAAGTGAACCACCAGTCTGACATTCTCCAAAAGAATGTCAGACTGGTGTCTTCTAGTTTATGTGCTTGGTGTAAATCAACACCTGCCAGGACATAATGCTTCAAAAAAACAGCTACCGCAAACTGAAGTACTAATAAATGAGCAGGCAAACAATCCCATGGCAGCAATGAAAAGAAAGAAAAAACATCCAAGACTATAAAAATGCCACAATCTTAGAAAACAGACAGATGTACTGTCTAATTTGTAACAAATTAGCTTTTAGACAGATTTTGGTTTTGAAAATTTGAGGCAATAAACTCTTGTTTTCTAATCTCCATGTATGATCTTCTTTTAGTTCAGTCAGTCCAAAAACTCTTCAGTACTCATAAATGCCTTTTCTTGCTAGCCATTTCAAGATTTCAGTAATGACTCTATTACACGAGTTTTGAACATATTGTTCATACAAGTCTACTGACCTGTACAAAATTTTACTTCCATTAGTGTTGTTGCGGAAAACCTCCTTCTTGGCGGTAAAGCACTTCATCATTGGAAAAAAACAGGATCCTAGGGATAACAACTACTTGAACACAAAAATCGTTAGCTTCGTTAAAACGTCTGATGGAAATACACGGGGTAATACCTGTGGAGATACAGGCCCAGATTCCTGAAGTTGCTGGAACTACCCATGATTGGGTTTTATCCAGACTAACAGAAGTGTTACAATTTCCTTATGGCGTTGTATTGTTTGTTTGTTGCCTATACAAATACCTTTACCAGAAACTTGCTCTAATGTAATTCCCTTGTGAGGGGTGTTCCATAAACATCACTTGGGATTGCTTTCTTTGGAGTAGCTCAATATGGCGTTAAGAGCTACCCCTTCATAAAAGGGCGAGTTGGCATCATAGCAAAGCCAACAAGAATGGGTAAGGCCTGGCTTTGTTGCATTCAACGACAAAAACACGGCATTTAGCATACGGTAAAAAAGAGCGTGAGAAGTTAGTTCAAGCGCACTATGAAATGCTGGTGTAACACTAGTGAAGCTAGGCGTGGGACCGCTATTTATATGATTGTATTGTTGGGCTACAACTTGATTGGGCCCGAAAGCGGTATGGTGTGGTGGTAAAATTCTGATAATTTGAACGATCGTGTTCGGGTCTGTATCCCAGCTATGGAGAAATACTGACCACTTTCGTCCTAGCAACCAGCTGGCGTCTTGAGGTTGCAGGACTGTTACATTTAGGTGGGAACAGCTTCCTTTTAGTAGCAATCATTCCGCTCTTATCAAATATGGGCCGCTTGCAGTCTTTGGGCCAAAAACTCACATCTAAAAAACTGTCTCTTTTTGCTGGTGCCCACTGGTTACTGGTAACGATGGTTTCACAGCCCCAATACCCACAAAACCCATACCCGGGGTAGGTGCAGTAGCTTTTACCGGGGTTGACACTGGGGCACCAGTATGTTCCCCAATTAACATAAGCAAAAGGTTTTCCCCGATTAGGATCAATTCCTATTCCATCAGAGTTAAATATTTCACTAATGTGAACAATGAAACTAGGAGCGTTAGACACAGTTTGTGCAATTACTCTACCGTCTACGGGATTGCGAAGTGTCCAGGTGCATGGTCGGTAGGGATGCGCATCCGGTTCTCCTTGTCCGGCGCGAGGCAGGCTTAGGAACAGGAAAACACAAAAGCACAGACGTTGCTGTAAAATTGTCAGTGTCCACGTTGAGGGCAAGAAGCGAGGTTGACGAGGAGGATTACAGCAGCAGACTTGTCAAAAGAAACTCCGAAGTTTCATTAGTTATGCAATACAGGCTTTATTGATTTTAAAGGACACCATTTAATAATGTTGTCTTTTTCTACTGCTGCATACCCCCGACCTGTTAGAACTAATTTCCATCCTGGTTCCCAATTTCCCAATTCATTCCTAATATTAACTGGTGGACCTTCTTTCAGTGCTTCAGTGGCCCAGTGCTTTTGAGAAGGGGCCCGTGCTTGATCTCCCCTGGGAAATTGATTCAGCGCTAGCATGGCGGTGGCTAGCAGGCGTGGCTGTTCTGGCGGAGGGATGTTATTGATAAACCCTTCTGCTTTGGCTAAGGTTTCTAACTTGGATTTTAAAGTTTGGTTCGCTCTTTCCACGATGGCTTGTCCCGTACTATTATATGGAATGCCCTGCTTTAGGGTAATGTTCCACTTAGTAGCAAACTCTTGGGTTGACTTGGAAATAAAGTTTGTGCTATTGTCTGTTTTGATTTGTTTTGGAATGCCGAGCCATGCCATAGCTGTTAACCAGTGTTGAATCGTCGCCTTAGAATTCGTCTTCGCATGTTGGGTCACAACGATCATGCCACTGTATGTGTCAACTGTTACAGCGAGCCAAGCTCGAGGTTTTAATATTTGGCAGAGGGTAAAATCTGTTTGCCAAATCTCGGAGGCCTTGAGGCCTCTAGGGTTGATCCCACTGGACCACAAAGGCGCTTTCTGACAGTGGGGACAAATGGCTACTATGTGCCTAGCGTCCGCTATTGAGATGTTGCATTTCTTGACAAGTGCTTTGGCTCCAACATGGAGTGACTCATGCAGTTGCCGTGCGTCTTGTAAAGTCCAAAGCCCCTTTGCTGCAGCATTGGCCTTGTCATTGCCGATTTGGAAAAATCCCTTAATGGGGTTATGGCTGTTGACGTGTATCACAGATATGGTGCCTTGACGTGAGAAAAGTGCTTCTTCTATCATTGCAGCAGCAGAGGATATTGAAATGCCTGGTCCAGACATCGGCTGACAAAGCCTGGCAACGAACATGGAGTCTGTTATGTTAAGGTGCTCTGATTGGAACAACCCGCATGCCAACACCACAGCGGAGGCTTCTAGAAGTTGGACAGACAGCGACTTGGCTGTCATTTTCGCACACTGCCATCGTTCTTGTGTCTGCCACATCACGGCTGTGGTAGAGGTGGTTGAGGATGCGTCAGTGAAAACAGTTGGCCCAGGGAGTGGTCGGTCCATGACCTTTTGTGGGAGGTTGACATCTGCTATCACTAGCAGCTGAGTCCATGGAGGTTTCACGGCGTAGCAGAGCTCTCCTGCAAATCCAAAAAGGGCCAGAGCAAGATGTTCTGAGATTGCTACCAACGATGTCGGGATCGGTTTCCAGAAGGGCAAATATATTTTTGCAGGCTCAAAACCTAGGTGGCTCAGGGCAAGCTTTCTGCCCTTCATGATAAGGTTTCTGAGACATTCCACTCCCGGGGTAAACGCACGTGAGGCTCTTCCAAGAGTTACCCATTGTACCGGTTGCGCTTTATCCGGAGGTCCTTGTGCCAATGCTCCTACTCTCCCCTCTCTCTGGTAAAATGTACGTATAGGTCTAAAGATAGACTTGGGTTCCATCTAGAAAGAACTGTCGTGGACAACTGTCGTTCGATGAAATCGAGCAAGCGCATGGCTTCGTTTGAGAGGGTCTTACATTCCCATGGATGCTTGCCTTGAAGGAGTGCGTACAATGGAGACATGACTTCTGGTGGGATGAGGACGACATTGCGTAGCCATTGCAAGGATCCTACTAGCTGTTGTGCGTCATGCAGCGTCTTGAGATCGCGGCGAATCTTGACTGTTGGGGGTGTCACATAGGAGCTGGCAATTTTTACGCCTAGGAATGTGACAGAAGGACCTTTCTTTATTTTTGCCTCTGCTATTTCAAAGCCGTTGGTCTTTAAAACTTTGGAAATGGCTAATACAAGATCGTCTACATGGTCTGGTGTCGGCACTGCAACAAGGATGTCATCCATATTTTGGATGATAGTGGCTTCCGGGTTTGCGGATCAAATAGGCACTAGGGCTCGGCTTACAATGATTTGGCATATGGTAGGAGAGTTGACCATCCCCTGGGGAAGGACTGTCCAGTGGAAGCGCAAATTAGGCTGCTGACTGTTAGGGAATACTATAGAAAAGGCAAATCGCTCTTTGTCTTGGCCATGTAGGGAAATGGAAAAGAAGCAGTCTTTAATATCAAGTACTGCACACGGTTGATCTGTTGGGACAAAAGAGTTGGCAGGTAGCCATGTTTGTACCAAACCCATGGGTTGAATTTTTTTGTTGACAGCGCGCAGGTCGTGGAGCAGACGAAAGCCTTCACCGCTGCGCTTAGGCATTATGAACACTGGTGTGGTTCCACGGAGAAGTAGATGGTTTGATGTGTCCTCTTTCTAATTCTCGCTGGAGTAATTGTAAAAGGATTGACATTCGAGGCTCAGGGATGGGCCACTGCTCGACCCACACTGGGTCGGATGACTTCCAGGTTAACTTTATTGGGGGTGGTGGGTATGCTGCAGTGGCCCTTAGGGTAAATTTGTCACCCTGACTCTTAGCTGGGATAAGGCATCCCGTTCTAATAGAGGTGGGATGTTTGATAGGACGTAAACATAAAGGTCTACAGTCTTTTCAGGCCCTTCTTCAGTATGCAAGGTTATTGCTATGAGTTCTACGCTCCTTTTGGCAACTGAGACTCCTCCGACTCCACCTACGGTTGGAGCTTCTTCTACCTTCCAGCTTGGAGGCCAATACGTTTGTGGGATAACAGTTACATCGGCGCCTGTGCCTATTAAGAAAGGGACGCTGATTGAGAGAGAGATGCTCTCTGAGTGAGGGCGGCTCGATGAGTTTTTCCAGGGGCCTATCATGGAACGGTAAATGAGCTGTTGGCAGATTCCTCATACTACTGCGGGGCTGTTGCATTCCACGGCCAGGGCCACCCAAGGGTTTCGCTCCCCGCGTTGCCTTGTTGTCCCATGGGCATAGTCAATTTTTGCGGGGGCATTGGCTGGGCCATAAAGTTGGTTGCCTCTCGGGGAGGCAACAGGTTCGGAAGGTGTTCGCCCCATTTGGGGTTCGCATAGGTGGGCCGCCGGATGTCCCAACTGGGAGGGGACCTCACGCGGCCCATTGGTCCCCTCCCCTGCCCGTTTCCCTGCTTCTTAAACCTACATTCTCTGGCAATGTGTCTCTTTTTGCCACAGCCCCAACACGGTCCTCTTGGTTTACCTTGGGGTGGGGGGTCAGAGGTCGGCCGGTTACGGTCGTGGCAGTTCTGAACAGCCATTACCTCTGCCACAGCAGCGCTCACTGCAGCGTGGGTTGGCGTTAGGTGTTCCTCTCTTGCTACATGCTTAATCATCGCCACAATAGTTAGTTAGTTAGGTGGCATCGAGTGCAAAATTTCTTTGGTGGCTAAGTTACATTGTTGGCGCAGGTAGTCAGCGACAACTGGGCCTTTAGCCTCTGCCGGCAGGTTGGAAGAGTCTATGGCAGCTTGGAGCCGGTCTACAAATAGAGTAAAGCTTTCGCTCTCACTTTGTCTTATGGTAGACCATGGGGCAGGTTTGGCAACTACTCTGCACACAGTACGAATAGCCTCTCTGGCTGCACGAGTTGTGGCCACAACTTCTGAGGCTCTCATGTTTTGGGCCTGAGCTTGAGGTGTGATCATTGTTGGACTTTGCCTGTCAGTTGTTGTAAGCTGGATCCCTGTAACGGATGATTGTCCCCAGCTACTTTTGCTAGCTCATTTGAGCGATTGTCCTCCCACTCTTGTTTAAACACTATCATCCCCGTGCCATCAAAGATCATTCTGCATGTTTGCTTAATATCAAAAGGTAGCATGTCGTCGTTACCAAAGTCACCGTCAATTAAGGTAGAAACAATGGCAGAGTTTATTCCTTTTTCAGCAATTGCTTTAACAATTGCTTGTACATCCTTGGGGTTAACTGGGGAATAGGTCTTTTGGCCATTCGCTTCTCTTACTGGGAATGCTAGCACTGCAGTAAGAGCCCATTTGGCACACGCCATTTGAATCTCTTTCCAGTCTGTAAGTGGTGTGGATTCTTGCGGATATGGGGCTATAGATCTTTTCGGTTTACCAAAGCTTATTTGCTTATTTTCCAAGTCTGAGTCTGAGACTGAGCTAGATGTATGTCTGAATGAATACCGCTCTACTTCCCACGCGCGCCATCGGTGGCCCCAGTCCCCTTCCGAATCAGAGGTGGAAGTCGAATGGCAGTGGGCTTCCGGACTACGATACCTTTTGGTGGGACTCTGCCCTCTCCCTTTCTCATGGGCGGGTTTCTCCCCTCCTTTTCTCCGCCTTCCTTCCAGTGGGTTCTTTTCTTTATGAGGGAATGTTTTAGAGCGCGCTCCCTGATTGGACCGTGGGCTCTCCTCCCCTTTGCCGTCTGCATTATCCTCCCACTTCCCCTTAAACTCCCGATCGCGCATGTCTGCGCACATTATGCACTCTTCGCCCTGCCCCTCGCTCCTTTCTCCGGTGCCATTTTGCAGCGCATATGGTGGGGGTCTTTCCCAAATATCTTTAGGGCCCGTGGTATTAAGCACACTTTGAGGTTCCACAGCATCGGTACTTTTTGACTGTTGATTATGTTCTACGGCCAAACCAGGGGTAGGACTGGGAGATCGGGACAACGACTTGGGGCGGTCGTTGTTACTGGATGGCCAGTTAGAATTAGTGGGGCAATCAATAAACGTGGTCTGAGTAGCTGCTCCAACCCCCACTCGTGGTGTAACCTTTAGACAGCATTGGGCTGCCTTCCAAGTTTCTTGCTCTTGGAGCGCTTTTCGCAATGCTTGCATAACCCTCGCCCAGCTCTTAAGGCACTTGCTGGATCTAAAGCACAATACATCTTCTGCAAGCGCCTTAGTGCATCTGTCCCAACACTCTGGGTGAAGAATGTCTATGGGACGATCAATGGCACCTAATTTTAATAATCTGGCAACCGCGCATTCAAAATCTTTTGCTTTGCAATCAACCCCCCACTGCTTATGCAGTTGTGAAACTACCTTGCCGAGAGCTTCCATCCCAGCGGTACGGGAGCGTCCTCCCCGCTGAAGTCGGTCCTGCCGCTCCGGCCGTCTTTCAGCGTCCGGCGAGTCTCCCGATATCCCGGCCGCTCTTACCCGTGTGCTGGGGAGCGGTCACGGGTTTCGGCACCACTATGTTGCCTCGGCGGAGGCAAGGCGACCCGCTTTGAGAAAGACACGATGGCAAACATACAGGCCTGTCGGGCTAATCACACACACACACCAATGCGGTGGATGGCGAAAAAGCGTTTATTTCCTGTTTGCGCGACTTTATATAACCACGGTATGCTTGTGTCACTACTACATTGCTATTGGTTAGTGTACTTGGAGAGGAAGGGGCCCTACCTTCCCGTACATCGCGAGATCTTCCAGTCAGTTTCTTTCTATCTAACTGCTGTTTCTATTATTTGACTAGATTTTTATAGTCATTTACAGTATTTCAGTAGATTTTTTCAGTTATTTACAGTGGGAGGAAGAGGAAAAAGAAAATCCAGAAAAGAAAGAAAAAAACCAACACAAACCCTATAAAACCACCAAACCTCCTTAGGGTTCAAATCACAATTGCATTTTGAAAAGAAAGTTGGTTTTTTTTCCTTTTAGATTGAAAATTATTATTTTCTTACTCTATTTGCTGGAGGATGGGGTAACAAAACCTCTAGATTTTTACAAAGCCCCAGAATTAAAGGTTTACAGTTTCTTTTAGTCCAAGATTTGATTAATCAAATTTTTCATCTCTCTCAATTCTTAGTTTAAGAAAAGGAAAAAAATCAACAGCAATGTAAGTGTTTAATGTTGCCATTTTGCAAGTAAATGCCATATGAGATGAAACGTATTTCTGTGAGAAACATCTAAGTGGTATCTAAGACCAAGCTAAGCTAAGCTTTCTGCTCTTCTGTAATTGGGAAGCTTCAGACCTGCAAGTTGTAAACCAAGGCTTTCCCTGGTTCACCTCGAGAATCTATCACAACTGGTTGGTTCAAGGGTTTTTTTATGAAATTTTCAAGATAGTTTCACAAGATATTTATAATAACATCTAATATTTCTATTTTGTGGCAAATGTACCATGGAAGTTGGTTTCATACAGACAGCTAGTGCAAACCTGCAATTTATCAAGTCTCACTCTAGTGACTTAATGTTTGCTAAATACTCATTTCAAAAACTGGTAATATTTGGAATTTACTACATGTGGTAAACTGTAAGTCTTTCCTCATGTCAGAGTCTATTACATTGATTTCCTATCTTTTAATTTTAGCACTGGAGAATTTTCCTAGTTTATGAAGGTATCCAATGCTTTCATCTCCCCCCCCCACACACACCTTTGTTTGGTTTTTTTTGAATTTTTTTTCCTC